TGATCGCGATCTGCGGCAACTCTACCGCCGTCGCTTCATTCTTCGGCGGCAATTCGGCGGCAGGTCCTTCACTCCGAGAGGGAGTGAGGGACCCATCGCCGAATTGCCGCTGAAGAGCCGGACATGCCTCCTCTCTCCGTTGGCCGCCCCAAGCACCTGCTTGCCGAGCTGGTGCCTGGAGCCGGCCTTGGCTGCAGGGGTGGCGCCTGTGGACAGGGCAGCGTGCAGAGCCGCCTGGCCGTGCCTCTGTGTAGGAGCCAGAGAAGGGACATGCCGCTGCTTTCAGGAGTCACTTGAGGTAAGCGCTGCCTGGAGCCTGCACCCCTGAGCCTCCCCCCGCAGCCCAACCCTCTGCCCCAGCCCTGATCCCCCTCCCGCCCTCTGAACCCCTTGATTCCAGCCCGGAGCCCCCTCCTGCACCCCAAACCTCTCGGCTCCAGCCCCAGTCCAGAGCCCCCTCCCGCACCCTGAACTCCTCATTTCTGGCCCCAGCCTGGAGCCCGCACCCCCAACCAGAGCCTGCACCCCAACCCCAATTCCGTGAGCGTTCATGGCCCACCAGACAATTTCTATTCCTAGATGTGGCCCTCGGGCCAAAAAGTTTGCCCACCCCTGCTCTAACATCTTGCCCCTTCCTTTCTCCTCCGATTTCCCCCACCACCACTGTGGGGCTCTGCTCCTGTCCCAGGAGCACTGTTCATGCTGCTCCCATGCCCACAGGAGCTCGCTGGTAAGGCTGGCACCATCTCCTCCTTTGCCCGGTGCCCCAGGAGCGGCTGCCAGTTGGAGGCCGATGGGCGCAGTCTGAGCAGTGCCTGGCAGCAGGACTGTCTAGCCCAGGTGGGTGGCTGGAGCTGGGTGCCATGGAGATGGGTGCTATAGAAACCTGACGTCTCACTGGCCCTTGTGTGTCTCTGCAGATGCTGCAGCCCCAGTTCAAGTCCCACAACACTAATGAAGTCCTGGGCAAGCTCTTCCAGATCGTGCCGGGTGAGAACCCCTACGGCTCCCGCGACCCCGGGAAGTGCCGGCGCTGCGCTGTGGTGGGCAACTCGGGCAACCTGCGCGGCTCTGGCTACGGGCGAGAGATCGACGGCCACGACTTCATCATGAGGTGGGTGGCCGGCGCCGCTGGGGAGGGGGTGCGGCTGGCTCCCGTGGGGCGGCGAGCTGCGGACGGAGGCACAATCTGAGCGCTGGGCCGGCTTTCGCGTTGGATCATGTCTGAGCAAAGTAGGTGGAAGCGCTTTGTCCGCATGTGCTGCTCTTGTCTGCATTTCAGAGCAGCTTCCCGCCCTCCCCCCCTCCCCCCCCTCCCCAAGTCCTCAGAGGGCACCTTCTCTCTCGGGCCTGGCTCTGTGCGGGCTGAGTCCTCTGCCTCTACCGCCCTCCCCAGGCCGGGACTTCTCGTTTCATTAACTCCAGTCTCGGGAAGTGGCTGCTGGGCAGGGGAAGAGCTGCGTGTGTCGGGAGCTGTCGTGTCCCTGGGGAGCGGCTGTCTCTGGGACGAACGCAGGACAGCCAGGCTGGGACCTGCCCTGGAAAGCAGGGAGTGGGGTGTGCAGAGAGGCGGCTGCAGTGTTTAGCACGTGCCGTGTCAGGTCGCAGCCTCCCTGGGTATGTCTACACTGCACATTGAGCCCGGGCTGTGACTCAGGTTTGAGCCCACACCCCCTTCCATCCACACACGAATCACAGGCCATAGGAGCGTGCCAGGAGGTGAGTCAGAGCCCGAGTCCTGCTGTGATTTGGTCCAAGCCCTGTTCTGTAGCGTGGCTGCAGGCCCGAGCCAGAGGTCTCAGCATGACGGTGAGAGCCGCGTCCAGCAGCTGTCAGCCCAGGTTCACAACCTGGGAAACGCCAGCTCCACAAGCCCAGGTGTGGGGCCAGGGCTGAGTCCTTAGCCCAGCAGCTCCAAGGGAAGGCGGCTGCTCCCCGCTCCCCATCCTCGCTCTCAGCCCGACTGGGAGGCTCAAGCCAAGGACTCAGGCCCTGGTTAGTAAATGGCGGTGGTGGGAGGAACAATCTTTCTCCATTCTTTTAAAGACCTTTCTGTTTCCGATCATTGAAACAGTGGAACGATAAAATCTCTGTGTACCCAGCTTCCCCATGGCCTCCCCCAATGGGGTGGGGTGGGAAGGCAGGTTTCCCAGCATGCTTTGGTGGCACAGTGCAGGCGCAGGGAGGAAAGAGTCGGCTACTTGCAATGTTCAGGATCACCAGTAGAGACGCGTCCAGGGTTCGAGACCCCACGACAAGCTGAGCTGACTGCCGAAATCGCTGGCGGAAATCCCCTGGCCAGGGCGGTGCAGGAGGCCGCTGGCTGATCTGGCACTGGCTCATCCACCTTCATGGTGAGGTCTCCCACCTCCTTCCTTCTTGATTCCCCGCTGCGATGCCCATCTCTGCACTAGAGGGACCAGGGATCCCTCACTTGCTGTGTGTGGCAGCACTGGTGGGGGCTGCGGGATAGACAGTGGTTGGGTGTTTTGGCCTCCAGGATGTTTAGCCCTGCTGGGAGGACCTTCCTTCCATCCGACCTTCGCTTTCCAGCCCAGCTGCCTCCTGATCCACGCTCTTTGCTCCAAAAATCAGAACGGCCGGGTGCGATTGCCCACACAGGCCCAAGAGCCCTTTGACTCTCTGGGGGACAGGGGTTCAGATCTTCTGAATCACCTGGGGAGCACAAGTCCTGGTGGAGCTGGTGTTCCTAAGTCAGTTGGACCCTTTTGAAGACCCCACTGCTGCGCACCCCCTCTGCATGCTGTTTTCCCCTCTCGGGAAGCCGAAGGCCTCTTACCAAGAGCTTTGGTGGAATGGTCCAGGTGGATCAGCCATTCGCTGTCCGTTTTCATCAGTGTCCTTGTGCTGGTCACTAGATGACCCTGAGCAGTAGCTAGAACACCTGGCTGTTCCCCTGCCCTTGTCAGACACCTCGACACCCTCCTCCCTTCCCCGCGCCCTTTCCCCAACCCCTTCCCTGGCCAGGCCTGGCTCCGCATCACGGCGTAGCTAGGGCCGCATCACTGGCCCTGTCATAGACTCTCCTCCCCGCTTCCCTTCGCAGCTAGCAGGAGGAACGCCCGCTTGTCGTAAGCTGGCGAGCGGTTCATCTGGATGCAGCCCAGTTGTCTTTGCTGTCTTACCGCTGTGATCGCTCCTGCTGGCTTTGTCCTCTGCCCGCTGGAGCTCACCCTCCGACACAGGAGTCCATAAATCCAGGCCCTGTGGCTGCTGGCACGCAGCGGGTTGTGTTTGTGCAGAGGCTGGATTCTGGGGGCCCTGGGACTGCACTGGATCAGGGAGGGTATATTTGGGCCGAGGTCTCCTATATGCAGGGGGGAGGCCCTTGGGGACCGGCTTCCCACGTGGAGTTGCTGCTCTGCCAGGGAAGTGGGGGGCAGGAGAAGATGTTGCCCTGACTCTGAGTGGGGCTGGGAACGTTCAGCTGCAGGGAGAGGTCCCTGTCTAAGTTAATGCTGACCCAGGGTTCTCAAAAACACTGGAGCTTCGCAGCCATGGGGAATTATGGCTCCAAAAGTATCCGAACCCAGGTGAGGGCTTTGAGACCAATCCGGGCTCCTTGGATGACATGGGAGGCCACCCCTGTGCCTCCAGGCTCCTCTGCAGCAAGCGTCGGGTGCTAGGCACTGAGATTGTGCAGTGTAATTTTCTGGGAATAACTTCTGAAGTAGGGCTGTGATCAGGAATGTGCCTCTCCCCAAAATGCCAGCCCAGTCTTGCAGCGGAGAGTCGGCCTGGATAACTGGTCCCATCGATCTTCCTCCGTGGAGAGGCTTACCCAGCCTCATTGACCAGAATCAGCCCTCGCTGTGTGCATTGCTCTACCCGACTCTTAGGCAGGATGTTGCCAGCCCAGCATCCTCTGTCCTGTGGCAGCTGCCTCTGAGTGGCGCTGCACCGCACGTGTAAAGGTTCGTGAAGCCCCCAGGAACCTTTGGGAGGGAAGAAATGCCTGGCTGCTGTTTACTCTCCCTCTGACTTGCAGACGCTGTTCGCTCACCTAAGCCAGAACAAAACTCGCTCGAACTGCCAGCTCAGCTTGGTGTCTGAAAATCAAGCTGTTCTTCCTGCCCCCTACGTAGGGTCCTACCAAATTCCCAGCCATGGAAAACGCATTGCAGACCATGAAATCTGCTCTCCCCCTGGGAAATCGGGTCTCTTGTTGCTTTTATCCGATACTATACAGATTTCACGGGGGAGACCAGCCTTTCTCAAATTGGGGGTCCTGAGCCAAAAGGCAGTTGCAGGGGGGTTGCAAGGTTATTTTAGGGGTGTGTGGTATTGCCACCCTTACTTCTGCGCTGCCTTCAGAGCTGGGCGGCCGCAGAGCGGCGGCTGTTGGGTGCTGCATTCGGAGCTGGCGCCAGGCTAACAGCTGCTGCTCTGTGGCTGCCCAGCTCTGAAGGCAGTACCCCCCCCCCAACAATAACCTTGTGATCCCCCCACAACTCCTTTTTGGGTCAGGACTCCTACAGTTACAACCCCGTGACACTTTAGATTTTACATAGCTGAAATCATGAAATTTATGATTTTTAAAAAAAATCCTAGAGCCGTGAAATTGACAGAAGTGGCCCGTGAATTTGGTAGGGCCCTACCCATACGTAGCTAGCCGAGAGCGGGGCTGGAGCCGGAATGCAGCAGCTGCTGCAGGAGGCAGGAATTGTTCCAGCTCCACCTTCGCTGCAGTCTCACTGCCCCAGCGGAATAGTATCGATCCTTCCGTTAGGATGTTGCTCCAGAAACCAGCTCCTGACGCTGACAAACTCCTCTATTGCTGCCCTGTCTCTAATCGCCCAGCCTCAGGGAAGCTCACGGAGAATGTTCTCCAGGCCAGCCTGTGTGTCCCCCGCAATGGCTCGATCAGGGGTCCATGCTAACTCCTGTCACCGTGCCAGCAGCCTCTGGGACTGTTTGTTTGGGGGGCAGTGGTTACTGGCCTGTGGATCGCAATCAGAACTGTCCATAGCTGTTCATTATCTGAGCACTGCCCCGTCCTGGGCACAAAATGAGCCAGGCGTGCTGCACGGAAAGTGGTCGTGTCATTAAAGCCTGCATCGCCAGGCAGCAGCACCAAGGGCTAACGGGAGGCTGCACAGGCACCTGTAATTGGGGCGTTTCCTGTCTTTTGTGTGTGTATGTGTAATAGAACATATATGGGGTTAGTCACGTTCCATCTATCTGTGAACTGGGGACAGTTGCACCCTGGAAAGGATGCTCACTACTGAGGCCGCAAGCCAGGCCAGAAACGCGTGCAGCCTGGGCTTCTCCTGAAACCGGCTCCTTGTCCAATTCCTGCTTCACTGCTGCCACGTAGTGGTGAAATGCAGCTTGCACTTTGGGTGATGTGGTACAGTGCAGCAAGGAGCTCTGGATGGTGGAAGAGAGCAAAATCACAAGAGAAACGTGACGTCATGACTGCTGATGGGAAGAGCCATTGAGTTCCTATATTAATAGCGTTCACAGCCAGAAGGGACCATTAGATCAGCTAGATCACAGGCCATTACGTTGCACTCAGATAGCCCTGTATGAAACCCCATAACTTGACTTTGATGAGATCTTCCTGAAAGGAATTCAGCCTTGATCTGAAGGCATCAAGAGATGGAGAACCCACTGCTACCAGCTAGTCACCCCGACTGGGAACAATTTGTGCCTAATTTCTGTCTGGCTTCAGCTTCCAGCCAGTGGTTCTCGTTCAGTCTTTCTCCTCTTGATTAAAGACCCTGTTAGTACCAGGGATGTTCTCTCGGTGAAGGTACCTGCACGCTAATCTAGTCACCTTGCAATCGGCCTTTTGACGAGCTGAACAGACAGAGCTCTAACTCTCTCGCTCTACGGTGTCTTCTCCAGCTCTTTTTCTGCATCCTCTGCCATTTTTCAACATCCTTTTTAAAACGTGGACCCCAGAACTGGACGCACGATTCCAGTATCAGTCCTATCAATGCCATGTTCAGAGGTAAAATCACCGCCTTGCTCCGACCCACTACTTCCCTGCTTGTACATCCAAGGATCGTGCGAGCCTTCTTGGCCACAGCATCACACGAGAGCTCATGTGGCCCCTAAATCTTTTTCAGTCACTGCTTTCTAGGGCACAGTCTCCCATCTGGCTTCCTTGCAGTCCTGGCCCTCGGTGTATAACTTTGCATTTGGGTGTATTTACCACATTTTGTTTGACTGGGGCCATCTTCCCAAGGAGTTCAGATTGCTCTTTAGGCCTGCCCTGCCCTGCCCTCATTTAGAACTCAGCCAGTCTTTGTGGGGGATTTTAAATTCCCAGGGTCACTTCCCCTGGCCCGTAGAGCTAGTCTGCACTGGGGAATACTGGGAGTTGGGAAACGCGTTCCCTGGGGCTGGGTCTCTTGCTCATTCCACTGAAGCATCTAGCACAGGCTGCTCTCCACTGGGATGGATCCCTGGCCTGGTCCGGTCTGGCAGGGCCTGTTCCTAGAACTTGCTGAGGTTGGGGCCCCACTGGGCCAGGTGCTGTACAAACACCGACCGTGAGCTAGTCCCTGCCCCCAAGTGGAAATCCATGGCTTTAAAAAGCAGCGTTCCCGTGCGGCGTTGGGTGCATGTTTGCTGGACTGCAGTCCTGCTTCTGTCTGTCCCACTGCCACTGTTACAGCTACAGCTAAGGGCTGGCTGCTCAGCTCCCCAAACTCCCGGGGATGTTCAAAGGCTGCTGTGGGTGTTTGGCGTGGCTGCAGCTCGGGCCCTGGCTGTGCGCCTGAGCGGCGCAGGTGGAGGTGTGCTGGCTCGGGACGGTGCAGTTCTGAACCCTGCAGGACCATAGCTGGGATGTCTTTAAAGAGAAGAGGAGACAGCCTCAAATAAATGCAGAGCCCTCGATGAATGCAGCGCGGCGGCTGGAGACTGACCAGCGGGGGAGGGAATGGAAAGGGTTCCTTGCATTGATTACGAAGCACATACGCAGTGTACCTAGCTGAAGCAGGATTGCTGCCCTGTGTGTCTAACCAAGCCAATTGTTCTGTGCAAATGACCTGACGGTCACGAGATGGTTCCTCTCTCTGCAGAATGAACCAGGCCCCCACAGTGGGGTTTGAAGCCGACGTCGGGGGCAGGACCACCCATCACTTCATGTACCCAGAGAGTGCCAAGAACCTGCCTGCCAACGTCAGCTTCGTGCTGGTGCCCTTCAAAGCCCTGGACCTGCTGTGGATCACGAGTGCCCTGTCGACCGGGCAGATCAGATTGTGAGTAGCTGGCGAGGCTGCGGGAAGAAACACTCCTCCTGCCTGGCCTTTGGCCGGCGAGCTCGGCGATGCTGTGTGCCAGCCCCTCTGGCGCCACGCGGGGGACACAGAGCCTGTCCCCATTGGCTGCTGGCTCCCAGTGCGGGGCCGGGAATGAACAGAAGCCACCATCTTCTGATGGCTTCTGCTCAGAGTCCGATCCTGCACCACTGAAAGCCAGTAGTGAATGTTGCCATTGGCTCCTTGGGCAAAGGATCAGGCCCTAAATAAGCATCTTGTCCAGCTCTCTGTGGTATTCAGAAGTGCCCAGGGCACTCCCCGAGTGGCAGCCCCTTGAGGTGGAGGAGGAGACTTGCTAGTAGGACGTAGTGCTGGGGAAGCTGGCCAGGCCCTGCTCCGTGTTCGGAACGGGGGACTTAGATCCGCGGGGCTAGTAGCGTTCGCCAGAGCTAAACTGTCTTGGAAGGCAGGAGGGCGGAGTGGGTGAGAGCCGGTGGCTTGACTGGGAGCCAGACTGGCGTGGAGAGAATTACAGCATCTGCCTACTTAATTTGGGGCACCAGGCCACTGGGCAGTGGAAATGTACGGTCCCTAAGCCAGCACCCTTTAATGCCTACTGTGCGAAGGGGGCCCTGGAGAGACTCTGAGCAGCTCTTCTTCCACTCATGGGCTTGTCTCTCCCCGTTAAGCTTGTTTAATGCTGAGCAGAGCATGCGCCTGTGAGTGTTGCAGTAACACCCGCCTGCCACCCCCTGCAGATGCCCGCACGGGCTGGTAACTCGCCCTCGCTGCTCTACTCACAGAGTGAATTGGCGCCATTCCTAATGAGGGAGGGAGGGAAGGAAGGGATCACTTGCAGAGGGCCCCCCCACTTCTGCCCTCCAGGGGAAAGGTGTGGTACTGCCTGAGGTACCTAAGTATTCGGAAGGGCACCTCCTTCTAACGCTATCCCATAATACTAGAATGAGAAGCCATTGCCAAGGTGACTGGAAGGTAAATGCAGGGAAAATAAAAGGAAATGGGGGGGGGGGGGGATGCGTAATCTCTCTGGGCCTCTGTTTCCCCATCTGTAAAGGGGGGGTCTGTCTGTCTCCCCCCAGCGGGACCCAGCTGCTGGGCAGGGAGGGAGGAGTGCATTGGCAGTTCCCCCTCACCACCCGGCAGAAGGGGACCTTGGCAGGCCTGGATCCCTGTTTCAAAGGCCCCGATTCAGGATGGTACTTAAGCTGAGCATTGCTCCTGATGCCAGTGGGACCAGGCTGCAGGACCCTCCTGAATCGGGCCACAAGTGACTGACCTTTCCCGTTAATTGTGCCCTGCTGTGTGTACCCTCTCATGGTAACGCCTTGTGGAGTGCTGTGTGGCCTTGGAGATAACCTGCCTCTCTGCTATTCCAGCACGTATGCGCCTGTGAAGCCCTTCCTTCGCGTGGACAAGGAGAAGGTAAGGCTGGCTCCAGGCTCCCTTTCCTAGGCCAGCCCTGACTGTAGGGGGGCTACAGAACACCCTGCTCAGCATCCGCTGGCTAGAGAAACCCCCACTCCTGGTCCCCTCTGGAGCGTTTCCCTTAACTCTGCCTTGGCTCTTCAGCACTGAGAACGTGGGCTGGCTGGAAAATGAATGTCTTTGTCCAACAGCTTCATCCCTAGCAGACAAGGCTGCGTGGGCTCTGGGGTAGCTAGAAGCCAGTGAACGTTGCTGTATCTTCCCGCCGACGGGTACCGTGAACTTCTCAGACTCTTCACTTCTTGTGGTTCGGGGGTTGCCTTCTTCCAAAGGTTGCACCATGTTCTGCTGGTCCCACAGCTGATCTTGCATTCAGTTGTGTCCCCATGAGAGGGGTGGCCTGGAGCTGGTCAGTACTGGGAGAGTGCACCAGATTCCTGCACAACCAAGCAATGGGGGACTGACTTTGCAATGCCCAAATTAGAAGAATGTTTCTGACCATTAGAGGAGGGAGGTTCTAGACCGGCCTACGCTCCTGAGCTACTTGTGCGTGTGCTTCTCCCCTCCCTGTGTTTAGTTTTGGGGAGCATTTACACAGCCTGACCTCTGGACCTCGGCTTTCTTCCAGGTGCAGATCTACAACCCAGCCTTCTTCAAATACATTCACGACAGGTGGACCGAGCACCACGGGCGATACCCCTCCACGGGGATGCTAGTGCTGTTCTTCGCGCTTCACGTTTGTGATGAGGTGGGTTCAGGAATGGTTGGTAAGGCCGCCGGGGCAGAGCTAGAGATCTGGGGTTCCATGGGACGTGCGCTCCCCTGCACTCGCCTCCTCACCACGCTGGCCCAGTAACACTCAGTCCTAGCCAGCTTCGTGCAGCTGGTACCATGCCTAGCGTTCCTGCACGGGAGCACAGCATTGCCGAAGTCTGCCCACGGCTGCCAATGGCGACTGTCTCCTAGATAGCAGTTTGCTGCTACTGTCTATCCATCTCGTGCTGAAATGGCCTGAAAAAGCCAATCCAAGTCCTTGCAGGCTTCCTTACTCTGGGAAAAGCGTCGGCTCCCTCTGGGAGTGGTGGTGATTTGCCAGGAGTGGTGGCAGGGCATCCTAGGCTGGGCTGGGCTAAGGGTTCTGCTTTGTGCTTTGGACTCGGGTAGCTTCTTCCCGGGGTTTATTTGAAGCCCACTGTGCCGCTTGGTACCTTTCCCCAGCCGTCCCTTAGAATCTCTTCGTTCAGGCAAAATACAGCCAAAAACGGTCGTCTTTCCGAGATCCCACGTCAGATGGGACCATTGTGATCATCCAGTCCGACCTCCTGCATGACCCAGGCCAGAGACCTTCCCTCCCCTCCCCCCCAGTGTTACGTAACGCGCTGGTGCCCATAAACTGTGACCCAATCTTAATTCCAGCCCACTCCTCACCAAACTAGAGCATGAGGCCGTGCTCTTGACCTGCCTAGCACGTCCGGGGTTGTGGGATCAACTTCTGTCTGTCCGATGGACTGCACCTATCTCAGTATGACAACTCCTAATGCCTGGGCTCCAGATTGGTGCGCAGCAAGGGTTCCCTGAGCAGACTGCTGTAATGTACCATGTTACACCGGAGTGCAGGATTTCCCAGGCTGGAGCCTTGGCTAATGCCTGATGTGTCAGAGGCAGGCAGAAAAACCCACAATGCACCTTCCTGCCCTGTGCTGTTTCCTGCCCAGAAGCAGCATCTCCGCCTGCCAAGCTCCGATGCGCTTGATGTAATTGCTGTTCCCCCTCTCTGGCTGCAGGTGAATGTCTTTGGATTCGGGGCAGACAGCCGGGGCAACTGGCACCATTACTGGGAGAACAATCGCTATGCAGGGGAGTTCCGGAAGACCGGGGTGCACGATGCGGACTTTGAGGCGCACATAATTGACATGCTGGCGAAAACCAGCAAGATCCAAGTTTACCGCGGCAACTGACGCTCTGGGCTCTGTCCTCTAGCTTTCATTTCAGAATCAGGTTTCAAGAGACGGATAGCTGTCGCTGGCCTCGCTGTGACAGATCCCCGACCAATCACAATGAGCTACAGGGTTCGGTCTGTGACCCCACCTGACCAGTGGCCAAGTGGGGGTACTTGGTTCTGCCGGCCAATCATGTTTAGAGAGAAAAGGAAACTTCTTTTTGTTTAAAAGTTTCGGATGAAAAGGATTTACAAGGAAAACCGGCCCCTGGTTATGTTGGAGGCTTCCAGCCCGGTTCTCCTCATGGTCAAACCAAATGCTGCTCTTTTTTTAAAACCAATCATAACTTCAGAACAAAGCCCAACCAATCGTGGCCACAGGCCGAAGGCAAAGCTGCATGTTTCGACCAATCTCCAGGTGGAATGACACTAGCCTGTGAGCTTCAGCCCTGGCTGACCCTCTGGAGTGGGGTGGTCTTCACACGAGCCGCCTCATTCTGAGCCCAGCCGGAACAAGCTTGGAAACACCTGGGTGAACGTCTCCTTTTTTAACATTCTTGGAGCCCAGCAATCGCTCTCCCAGAGGAGGCTCCAGTGTCTCTTTATTTTGTACAATCTGGTTCAAAATGCTGACCAGACAATCAGTTCCTTTCGGGTGTGGGCACAATCGGTGACTGGGAAAGTTCCAGCTTGGCAAAGGGAGGGGATGGGGGAGTAGAGGAAGGGGTGTGGGGCGGTTCTTGGCTTTTTGACAGCCAGCTGGGTCCAAACCATTAGGAATGGAGCCTGCTGAGAAGAGTTCTTGCTGAGCAGAGGATTTTAAAGCCATTGGAAACATCAAAAGGGAGAAGCAGCATCTGGGTGCTTCTCATGTAGGGTCTTGGCAGACTGGAAGCTTCTGAGACTGACCAGTGGTTAACGCTGGTTGGGAGCTAGTCTCAATAAGTGGGAGGAACGGAGAGGAGGGGGAACCTCCATTTAAAGCCTGGTGTCTGCCTTTTTACTCCCGTGAGAAGGGGCAGTGTCTTGCTCTAGGACTGACTGATAGGACCGAATGAAGAGAAGCCATGGCAAAGGCAGCTAAGAAATCTGCAGAACCTGTGGCTTAGACCCCTTCCCCATCTCCATCCCAATCCCACCTGGGTTTGGAGAGGGAAGGGGGAATTCTCTAGTCTAGAACCACAACCTACCTCCCCACCCCAGTCCCTCCCCCGCAAATGTTGCCTCCATTATCTCTTCCACCAGGCGTGTTCTTGCAACAAGCTGTCCTTGTAAGAGTCTTGGCTTCTTGCAAAGGCAACTTCTGATGGGAAGTGGTGGCCCACGGCTGGGTAAGGTCCTGCTTTTCCAGGTTCATTGTAAATTTCCCCGCTCATCCTCGCCTCGGAATTGAGCTGTGGTAGCAACTAGCCATTTAGCTGGAAGTTGCCAGGCTTTGGTGAAGGGATTGTCCTAGCCGTTAGACAGCTGATCTCATTGCTGATGTTATGGGCAGAGACTCTCCTCTCTCTAGATGGCTGCTTCTCAGCAGTCCAGATGCTAATTTGCCCCTGCAAAGAGACAGCTGGGGCAGCTAGTGAGAGTTGGCCGGTGGGCATCAAAGGAAGACTTGAAAGGAGAGAGGTGGGGAGCAGGGAGGATGGATTTGTAGAGAACTTGCCAGGAAGGCACCCGTTGAAAGCTCTCTGAATCAAGGTAGGGGACCGTCCTTGATGGAGATCCCAACAGTGTTTGGCCTCGGGGTGCTTCTGCACACTAGATAAAGAAAAAAATGGATTTCCTTTCTGCTACTAGATGAAAGAGCAAATTGTAGAACACTTAGAACTTGGGTGAATGAAGTGTGTTTAAAAATGAAAAACTAAATCTAGACGGCCCAAATCCTGAAGCGCTTGCCCAGTTTTTAATCATGAAGGACCTCTAGGATTTGACTCCTCCATGGACTAATTGCCTTTGGGCGGGAGGCTGAGTTAAGGGTAACGGGAAGGGCTTCTCTGAAATCTTATAACCACTGGAAGGAGTATCTCATTTCTGCTGACTTTCACAGGCTCCCTTTTGCAAGCCGAGACCTCTCTGCCACCCTTAACTCTTCTCACCCAATAGGGATGTCCTGCCCTTCCTGTGCATTCATTTTAGCTTGGCTTGGACCATGCCACTGGACTGGAACCCAACCTAAGCCAGTCCCTGCTTTGCACTGGGAACTGTCATCTCCTCTGCCTTTGTGGGGTTTACACAGTCAAGTGCGAGCTCCTGGCCTAGTGGTAGGATGCAAAGAGAGTGAAATAACCTCATCCAACTACAGAGGTTTGTTTGGGGGGATTGGTCCAAACTGGGGTGTGTTCCATTAGGGGGCAAAGCCTGCAGCTATGAAATGCTCTCAGAGGTATTCGTGAAATCGAAGGAGAACGGCTTCTTATTTCTTGCTTGGTTGGGTTTTTCAGGTAGGTATTTGATAGACTAAATAAAATGCAATCATGCCAAACAGTATTGAATGGAATAATTTCTTCCAGTTTGTATCCTCGTTGGATTGTGTGGTATTGGGAGACACAGGGCCCAGAGCGGCCAGGTCTCCTTTTTGCAATAGTTATTTAAAGAAATTAGGATGGGGAAAGGGGGTTCTTTTTGTATCTGTGACTTTTCTGTATGGCAATCTCTCCCGTTTTGAGGTTTCTTCTGCAGTTGTGAAATGTACGTCCTTGGGCCTATTACAGCAGCCAAACGGATGGCTCTTGTTTTCAGTCTACAGGGCTCTAAAGAAGTGAGGTGGGTGAAGGTCTGAGGCTGTTTTTTTAAAACGAAAGGTTCTGCTTGTGATGTCATGCGATCACATGACCTGCTTGCCAAGCAGTCATTTTGGCTAATCCAGGACAAAAGAAGTAACTCCATAGTAGTGACCCTCTGAGGCTTGTAATAGTGTATTGGAAACCAAAAGTCAGCAAGTCCTTGCATGCTGGGGAACTTGACAGGCCAGTGAAACCTGTGTTCTTTCTGCACCGCTCTCTTCTTGGGAACCAGGGGAGGGAGAAGTGGTTTAGTGCAAGCCCAGTCTCCGCTATCTTTTTTTTTTTTTAAGAAATAAAAAACAAACCATGAGCAACAGAGTGCCTTGAATCACGTACTGTCTGTCACACTGGACTCCACCCCTGACCCTGCTGTGTCTGGGGTTCACGAACCATGCCAGGATGTCCATGTCCTCTGCTTTTACTGGCAGGCTTGGCTGCTTCCTTCATTGTTTCCCTGCCGCCGTGTTAAAAACCCATCTGAGCGAGGTGCTGGGGTTAGCTGAAAAAGGCCACTCATGGGGAGAGCAGAGAGGCTGCCAGACGCCGCCTTTTCTGGAGCTGCTGCTGCTCCTGGTGCTGGCTGGTGCAACGGGATGGGAGAAGCACCTGGTTAAAAATCCAGTTGCTGTCTTTGGAAGGGCTGGTCTCACTCCTGGCTGGTGGGCAGAGGCGGGACTGGCTTGACAGTCAAGGAGTGACAGGAGCCAGCCTACCAACCATGCGGTCTCGAATCCAAGAGCCAGTCTGGCGGCTTGGTCTCCTGCAAAGCGCACGCTGCCCAGCCGGAGGAGGAGGAGTGATTCCATTTTTCCGTGAGTTCACCCGGCTACAAGGACTTGCTAACACTTCTTTCCTTAGCAGCCTGGCCAACAAACACCTGCATGAGCATGCTGCAACCCACCCCACGGAAATGGGAACGTGGGGTGCGTTGTCTACAAATACCACTGTACTGTACATAGAGGAAACTACACAGAGGCTATGGGCAAGGGGCACTGGTGCCTTCCAGCATGGAGCAGAGACGAGCGGAACCAGCTTGGACTCAGCTGAGACTGCCCCAGTTGATCTCCATCACCATCAAAACAGTTCAGAAATAGCTCTGCACTCAGAGCCAGGGCAGTCCTGACGTGCGGGGAGCTGCAGAGAGCAAGTTTGTCAATTCATGGCTGGTCCAGGATGGTTCAGTCCTGAGGAACTTTGAAAGACAACCCAAGGTCCCAATTCTGCACAGATTCCTTCTGCACATGCTCAGGTTGATGCAGCTGAGTAGCTCCATTCGAGTCAGTGGGGCTATTCACGTGCATCTCGGGTGGACTGGGGCCCCAAATGCTCCCACCAACTGGAGAAATGGAGGGTTCCTCTGTGGTGCACCTATGGGTCCTGTGGTATCCTACTGAATTTACAGTCCTCTTCCACATGCCTTGCACTGCCGGGCTCTCTGTAAAGGTGACTCATGGTCCAGCCCTGTCTTCGCCCACCCTTCCTATAAACCAGTCCGAAGAGCAGCTTGGCAGCCTTCCCCATAGCCTCTGTGTACTTTGCTACTTCTACACACGACTGTCTTAACACTCTTTTTTGTTAATAAAAGGATTAATCTGAAGCGTTCTGTTCCTCTCCATCTGTTGTAAACAGCCTGCACAGCTGTGCCGGCTCTCCCCTGCCCTTTGGTTTCAGTATTATGCGCACTTTTACTGTATCGGAGGGGTTTGTTTTCTTTCATGTGCCACAGTTGGAAAAATGGGATTTATTTTATGTTGTACAAAATAAAATCTGTATCTGTTCCTTCTCCTGGTGTGTGTGTGCCTTAGGCCTCGGGTGTTGTATGGTATTTCATCTGGAGATGAGCAGTAGCTGGAAGTCACTACAGTCTAATGAGGAAAGATGGTCAGATTGGCCAAAGATCTGATTTCACACTAGCCTCCTCTGGTCCATCTGCTGGGTAGGGCCTGAGAACCCCGCCTGCCCATACGCCATGCAAAGCGTTACAGATGTTCATTGCTACCCAGTATAGAGTGTCCCAAGTTCTTGTTGCACTCACCTAAACCATCCTGTCATAACACCGGCTAGGTCGGCCATTCCAATTCTTGTGATGAACGTACGCTACTTCAACAATACAGAGTATGAGGAAATACGTCTAGGGCTCTGTTCTAATCTATTTGGGGACTAGATTCCTTTTGAAATGGTTACTGCACTTTTAATGAATAACATACATTCAACAGTTTTCATTCGATAATCTGGTTTCTTTTTATAAGGCAAAGTGTGCTGGTAAGGTTGTCCATAACACAAACGCTCTTCAGACTGGAAATAACTTTCCATAGGACCCAGGGAATTATTCCTGGCCAAATCCTAATTTCTCTTGCAAAATCCCTTCTGCATTTTCAGGCTTCGTCTGTTCTAGGAAATGTTAGCAAAAAATTCCCCCCAGTTGCTCTCCCAGGTCTAGCTGTACAGAAATTTGATTTCTTTGCATTGGTTGGGGATTGAGCCCTGGCCTCAGGGTGGGAGCTACTAATGCGCTAATACTCATAACAACTGGAGAAACACAGGGACCGTCTGACTCTGCAATTATCCCCATGTCTAAGATCCTTTTGATCTCCTTAAGGGTTTGCTCCTACATTTTCCCAGCTGACCGATGGGCTCTGCTGAGTGCAGGTTGCGATCCCACAGTATCCAGCTATGGACCATTTCATGAGGCAGATCCTGGCCTGCTGGAAAATACCTGCCCGCCCCTTCGCAGCACAGCCAGAACATCTGCTTGTCAGTGGGGGTTAACTCTTCACATCCCTCAGCGCTCCAGGGGGAGGTGTCACCGTGGCATTCAGCTCCCAAGGCAAGGGGCTGTGAGAATCCTGCCCTGCACAGCACGTCA